GTTCTACAGATGTTTAAGGAGTCACACGGGTACTGAATAAAGTCAGGTCTATAATTGGGGATACGTTGGATTAAGTCTGGTGCTACAGATGGTTACATAGCCAAACAAGACGTGAATGAAATCAACTCTAAAATTGGACATAATTTGAATGAAGTCTGGTACCACCAATATTTGTTCAGTTACTCTGGAACTACATAAAAGAAAGTCTGTAATTGGGGATATTTTGGATTAAGTCTGGTTCTATAGATGTCTGTTCAGCTACAGTAGAAGAACGTTAAATCAAGTCTAAAATTGAGGATATTTTGAATGAAGTCTGGTGCTGTAGATGGTCGTACAGCCACAGTTACTGAATAAAGTCACGTCTATGTTTGGGGATATTTTGAATGACTTCTAGTTCTATAGATGTCTAAGGAGTCACACAAGCACTGAATAAAATAAGGGACATAATTGGGTATATCTTAGATTAAGTCTGGTTCTTTACAGGTCCATTCAGTTACACTAGAACGACATTAAATCAAGTCTAAAATTAGGCATATTTTGAATGAAGTCTGGTGCTGTAGACGTTTGTGCAGCCACAGTTACTGAATAAAGTCAAGTCTATAATTGGACATATTTCCAATAAAGTCTGGTTCTATAAATATTTACTCTGCCACACGGTTAATAAAGAAGCCGTGTATATAATTGGGCCTGTTCTGGATGAACTCTGGTTCTGTAGGTGTCTGTCGGAGTCACTCAAGACTCTCCTGGACGTGTGAACAGCCACCACAGATCTGCGTTAATTATGCGGGGGTCAGATGGCGATCCTACCGACGAACAGCTGGCTGCTGAGCCGTAAGCGGAGGTGTCCGTCAGCCGGAGCCTGGAGGAAGCGCAGGGGCAGCTGGTCGACCTGCAGCGACGCCTCCTTCACGTTGCGCTCTGCCCTCACGTAGTGCCACTGCCTGTCGTTGAGCGGGAGGTGGGACTTGACGGACAGAACCGCCGGCCCGTTCCCCACATCAAAGGAGAACGTCACCGCCGAGGGAGCTGCAAGCCACACAAACACAGAGCCGGGTCAGGCCGAGCGCCACGGCGGGCGGCGGCGGCGGCGGCAGCGAGCTCCCTTCCCTTTTCTGATGCAACGTGATACAATGCTGCTGGGAAAACTTGATGACCTGCATAGATTTATGAGGGAACTCGGCTGACAGCTCGTCAATATTTCACCGTATCTCTGATGCTGCAGTAATACATAACGGCTGCAAACATCCCGGCGGCTCCTCCCTCCGGTTTGTGCACGACACGTAATCGACCGCTTCTCCTGCTTTCAAACGCCACAAACACAGAAGTGCTTCTGTCAGGACCGAGCGCTGTCGTTATTATCATCAGACAGTCCGATTCTGCACATTTACAGGCTCGTTGCTTCACTTTGAGGATGTTTTTTCTGCGGCGGTCCTCCTGTAAAAACCCAGTTTAACACCTGAAGACGACACACGATGAGCAAAACAACCGGGTCATGTTCAAAAACAACCTGTCAGTGAGCAGATCGGACGTTTCTGTGCTAATGTTCTCCCCAAAATCAGTTTCAATTCACTAAATGAGACGCAGAAAATCAGGTTTTTAAATCTCCTGTTAAGTGTATAAAGCCTTCATTAGAAAAGCTTCAGATCTGAGCGTCTCAATCATCGTCTCTAATCCAAGACTTCAAAATGTGCATTCAAACCTGTGACTGACACATATCTAACAACTGGATTTGGATCTTTTATGTAAATAAACAGCAGGTTTCTGCTGCAGGAAACATGTTAGAAAAAATGTAAAAAACACCTTTTCTGCATAATTGAGGAAGTGGAAAGAAGAAATTATCTTTCTCTTCTTATGNCAAGGAAGTTTGGTATTGTGCATGTATGCATCCACACAAGAGCACCATGAGGTTCTTAAATAGGGTGCATTTTGACTGAAGTTTGGTTCTATAGATGTCCGTGCAGCCACAGAAGAACTAAACAAAGTACAGTCTAAATTGGGGATATTTTGAATGAAGTCTGGTGCTATAGATGTCTGTCCAGTTACACTAGAACGACAGAAAGGCAAGTGTCAAATTTGGAATATTTTCAAAGAAAGTCTTGGACTACAGATGCTTGTGCAGCCACACAAGCTAAAACAGGTCTAAAATTGGGATTTTTACTTAAGTGTGGGACCACAAGTGTCGGCAGCAACAGTAGACCTGAATACAGTCACGTCTAAAATCGGGCATATTTTGAATGAAGTCTGGTACAGTAGATGTTCATCTCTCTACATAAGAACTGAATCAAGTCAAGTCTATAATTGGGGATATTTTGGATTAACTCTGGTGCTGTAGATGGTTGTTCAGACCACAGTTAGTCACTCAAGACTCTCCTGGATGTGTAAACAGTCACCAGTTTGTCAGCGCATCAACAAATCCGGTTTGAATTAATTATGCGGCGGTCAGATGGCGATCCCACCGACGAACAGCTGCCCGTGAACCGATGTCCATGCTGCCACACAAGCACTGAATAAATCAAGTACATAATTGGGCATATTTTGAATAAAGCCTGGTGCTATAGATGTCTAAGGAGCCACACGAGCACTGACTCAAATCAAGGACATAATTGGGCCTGTTCTGAATGAAGTCTGGTGCTACAGACGGTTTTGTAGCCGAACAAGAACTGAAAAATTGTAAATATTCTGAGTAAAGTCTGGTGCTGGGGATGCTTGTTCAGTTACTCCAGAACTACATAAAGGAAACTTGGAGCCTTTGGATGAAGCCTGGTGCTGGAGATGTTCATCCCTCCACACAAGAACTGAATAAATCGAGTCTAAATTAGGCTTATTTTGAATGAAGCCTGGTTTCTATAGATGGTTGTGCCGCCACAGCTACTAAAAAATGTCCCATATATAATTGTGAATATTTTGGATTAAGTCTGGTTTTATAGATGTTTGTTTA